CATTCCAACATTCATAGGTACTGCTTGTTCATAGTTGGTGTAACTTTGAAATTTTAAACATCGTAGGAACTGATTTAAAGATTCTTCGATAACACTTTTGCTTGTTCAAAATAAAGAAAACCTTTTATTATATACAGACAACATAAGCTTCGAATTGTTCTTCTCCTAGTAAGATTGGAATGGTTCTAGAATTTCAACATAAGTAAAAGTTCTTGTCCTTATGAGATTGGACTCACTTAAGAATTTCAATACAAGTAGAAAAGAATATCGCAAATAGCTAAGAAGTTCGAACTTAAGGGGCATTATTATCTGAAATCTGACAATTTTATCTAATTATGTCCTAAAACTAATTGGATTATAAGACTAATATCTAGAATTCCGGTTATGTTTTTTTATTATGAGTTATTATGCTTAATATTATAAGGTTATTTTTGTAAACCGACATTGTATTCATACTTTTATAATAATATAGATAATACAATTTTCATCACAATAGTTATTTGTTGAGAGTTTTTTAAAATAATTAATTGTATATTTATGTACTTTGAAATTTATATAATGTTGAATTCTTATTGAATAGAGGAAGTACCCAACTAACTTCGATCATATAGGGAGAAGTATAATCCTGTATGACGATACTTCTCATACTTCCTAATATATAATGATTTTTAAAACAAAAAAAATTCCACAAATTAATTGTCTTAATTTTTACTTCAGATATTCTCAAATCATATTTTAGAGAGGGGATACTTATTACACAATTTGAATAAATTTCAATATTCTATAATAAAAAGGGGGACTTGAAACTATATTTTATTCTTAAATATTCTTTTCCTAATTTTATAAAGTATTCCAATTGAAATTGCAATTTAATGAGAACTTTGTATAAAATTATATCAATTGATAATAATATAAGAACATATGAATGTAAATCTACATAAATTATCACTAATTTTTTTTAATAAAATCTTCTTTACCTGAAATAGTTAATAAATAAAATAAATTAAATAATATTTCTTAAGGAGATAATAGAATTGTCATATATAAATATATGTTACCATAGTATTTTTAATCAGGTGAACATTTGAATTATAAAATTACCAAAAAGATAATTTTTCTAGTTAAAAGTACTTATTGAAAAAATAATAATAACAATCAAGTAATGCATTTAATGAAGATAGTGAAGGTTGAATGGAAAGTGGGGTCCACCTAAAGAATTTAATAGCTTATGGCCACGTTAGTTTTGGTTTTTCCTCTTATTAAGAACCCACAACCAAACTTTTGAGCCTAGTATACAAGCAAACAATGCACCAATATATTGAAATGACCATTATGCCCTTGGTCGACATCCTCTTCTCTCTTCTCTATAATAGAAATTTCAAATTCATTCCACATGAGCGAAATAATGGACATCATTGACAAGAATCAAGATAGTAATACATACTATTTGATTAGATAGTCAAAGTCTTCTAGTCTCCTAATAGTGTAACAAGCCAACAAGAATAAGTTTGCACGTCCTAATGTTTTAATCAAAACAACATGTGCGTATTATTTCATGCTAATTGATTCCTTTACTAACCATATACAAAGAAGCAAATATGTTTTATATATTTGTATGTACATATATATTAAATAATTTAGTTTTATCAAATTTTTAGTTTTTATTTTTAAAATTCGAAACAAAATCAAAGTCTGAATCAAAGAACAAAAGAGATTCAATTTAATTTAGTTTTTCGTATTAATCTGAATAATGCACACCCCTAGTTTCAGCAATTATAGGAGTCCGGTATGGCAAAATAGTTGAGGAAGAGCATAAGGGGTGTCCTGCTGAGATTTGGTGTTCCGAGGATTCGAGGCAAATTGGTGGACTAAAGTCAAACCAGACCCCTAACTATATATAATAAAATTTTATATACGAGTATATTTTTATTTGAAGTGGGAGTCTAAGAGAAATACAAATAAAACGAAAAAGAATGAAAATTTAAATCATTCAATGACCTTGTTGTTTGATAGAATAGACAAATTGAGTGTAAGGAAGGGAAAAAATTGGAGCTGATTTTAAAAGAAAAAGAACTGAACGTTGCAGCACTTCGCCGTTGCAGCACCCCAGAAAGTTACGTTTAGATATTACTCGGATATTATTTGAGCATCTTTCATATGTATCAAGTAAGTGTCAAAGGTACATTATCCTTCCTCAAATTGTATTTTCTTTGTGAAGGTCTAGTCCCCTTCCATTTTGTTTTGCTTATCTTTCTCTTTAATAAATATTACTAGCACAGTTACAGATATTTGCAGATAATTTTACATTAGTGATAAAATAATATCGATTTCAATGGATGATGCTACTAATAACACAAATGCTATAGATTTGCTTACTACTACGCTAAATCCTGCATTTAGTAACATTTTTCATGTTAGATGTATTTGTCATATTTACCATTTAATTGTGGGCGATGGTATGAGAATTTTAAATATTGAAATTGAAAAGGTTAAAATGGCTCTTAACTGGCTTTTTTATTCAAACCGTAAAAGTAGACTTAGAGAATATTTTAAAAGATGCGATGAATTTGGCCTAAGAGAAAGAAAGGTTCCTAAACCTTGTCCAACTAGATGGAATTACATGTATGAAAGTTTGGTTGTTGCATATAAATATAGAAACCCTATAAACTCAATGTTTAATGCACATGTAAGTGATGATGAGCACCTTACGAAATTGGATTGGGCTAATGTTAAAATGCTTATTGATTTTATAGAAAAGTTTTATATTGCTACAAATGAATTTTCTGGGCAATATTATCCTACTATTTCTAATTGTTTAGTTTATATTGCAGAACTTGCAAATTTGTTTACTCATTTTTCAGAGGGTGGAAAAATTTATAAACTTGCTATTGATTCTATGAGAAAAAAGTTTAAAAAATATTTTTTCCTTATTCCCCTTATTTATGGTGTTGCTGCTTTGTTAAATCCTTGTATGAAATTAGGAGGTCCTCAATTTTGGTATGAAACTGTTTATAATGGTTTAGCACTTGAAGATGCTGAGTTGGCTGGACTTCCGGAAGCAATAGCCTCAATTAGAATAAATGCTCAAACAATTTATAATGCTTATCAAGTTGCATTAAATCAGGCTAGACCAAATGTTTCAACTCCTTCTGATTCTCAATCATCTAAAAGAACTGCGGGAGTAAGAGCACTTAGTGCTTGGGCAGGATTTAGGGGTTTTTAAGGTTCTAGTAGTAATGATTTTTCACAACTAAGTGAGCTTGAAGTTTATTTGTCACAGCAAATTGAGGAAGTGAATCCCGACAGCTACTTTAATCTTTTGCAATGGTGGAAGGACAAAAAAAAATACTTTCCGGTTCTTTCAAGGATGGCCCGAGGCATTTTAACTATTCAAGCTTCAACAGTGGCATCGGAGAGCGTTTTCAGTCAAGCAAGATTTCAACGTGGTGATTATAGAGCGTCTGTGAGGGAGAGCTTGGAAAAATCAGTACTTTTCAGAGATTGGATCCATTTCGAAAAAGAAGAAATTTTGGACTTGCTGAATCACAACCAGAGGAAGACGAAACTTACGAAGAACTGCTAGCTAAACTGCTTCGCCCGATAATGGAAGCGGCGATGACCAAGCTACTTTTTCGCCACCACCAACAGAAATTCCTCCGAATCTTGAAGGATTTATGAAGTTTGTAAGAGATACCATGTAACTTGTATGAACAAAAATTAGTATGTATTATGTAACTTGTATTTTGGCACATCTTGATTAGTTTCTTTTTCTCCTCAATGGTTGTATTAGCACCTTGTTGTGCTCATTCCATAGGGGAAGAAGACTAAGAAAGATATTGCCATATTTTTTTAATGCTATAATAAAATTACAAGGTATTGCTTTGAATATCTCTTTACAATATTTTTGTCTTTAAATTTTGAATTAAAAAGTTTAGGTCACAATTCTATAATACAATTTACAAGGTATTGCCTTACATATTTTTTTTTACATCTTTTTGTCTCTAATTTCAATTCTAATTTTTTTTTAAAAAAAAAATATTTTAGCCGTTAGACCCACTTAGTCCGCGGGCCCGGTCCGTTTAGCCCTGGGACCATGAGTTCGTGAGCCCGGTCCCGAGCCGGTTCCTAGAAAAAGACAGTTTAGCCCGGAACCGTTTGGCCCGTTTAGTTAAGGACCTGGCCGGGGCCTGGACCGTTTGGACCGGCCCACTTGACCCGTTTAGGGCCCGGCCCGGCCCACATGCCACCCCTAGTAGCACCAGTGGCGTATCTAGCACTACAACTACAGGTTCAATTGAACCCAAAACTTTCCAGGCATGACATAAATTTATGTGTAAAAATTTACTAAAATTATAAAAAAAAATAATTATGTACCCATAACTTTGAAAATATGATGAGTTTAATGCTAAAAACCTTAAATATTGAACCTAGATAATTTAAATCTTGGATCCACCTCTGACTAGCATTTGTTGCCAATTTTGCGGTTTAGGTTCTCTGGCCTCCCCCTCTCCGCCACCTCCCCCAATCTAAAAAGGAAAAAAACATAAAGGAAATGACATCTTTCTTTGCCAATCAAAATATATATGAAGTAGCATGAAGAATCAGGTCATACATAAAGGAATGCTTTGTGGTTCACGCCAGTTTTGCTTCAATTTTCTGCAAAGTATGTTTCGCTTTTATTAAAACACACATACTCCTAAATAAACTCACAGAAATGGACAAAATTAAACAAGCTTTACTTGAACTCATACTTTTTCCCAATAATATCACTTGATTACTAGCTTTAGGAGGTGCCAAACATGCCTCCTCACCTGGAAATGAGCAACTTTCTATCCAACAGTTATTTCATTTTATCCCTTTACTTGAATTTAAATGTCCTTACATTCTCATCACCTGCTCCCCCAGCTTCCTCTCACTCATCAATCAAACCTCTCTAATTTTCTTCCCCGCCCTCCTAACGATAAGAAAAAAGAAGAGATTCACTATAGGAGAAGAGAACAATGAGTTTCTTGAGGGGTCTATTAGGTGGTCTTCTTCTTGCTATGGTATTTTTTGTATCTGATGGAGACCCTTTGGTTCCAGCATTGTGCATCTTTGGTGATTCTGTAGTTGATGTTGGAAATAATAACAACTTAAGCACTCTCATCAAGGCAAACTTCCCACCTTATGGAAGAGATTTTGTAACCCACAGACCCACCGGAAGGTTCTGCAACGGAAAGCTGGCCACAGACTTCACAGGTAATGTCTAAGTCTCCTCAACAAAAAAAGTAAAAGTTCTCCATTGTTTCTCACACATGCATGCCTTAATCTACAGCTGAGTATCTTGGGTTCACTTCTTACCCACCAGCTTACCTGAGCCGAGAAGCTAGAGGGAAAAGAATTCTGACTGGCATCAACTTTGCCTCTGCTTCTTCCGGTTATTATGAGAGGACTGCTAATTTATATGTAAGTATTAAACTGTATGCATGAGAATAGAAAACTGTGGACTGTTGAGTATGACTAACTTGGAAATGTCATGATTTTTGCAGCGTGCTCTAACGTTGCCACACCAACTAAAATATTACAGGGTGTGGCAAAGGAAAGTAGTGAATCTGGTCGGGAGGACCAAGGCTAACAACATATTCTCAGGAAGTATACATCTTATAAGTGCAGGGAGCAGTGACTTTATTCAAAACTACTATATAAATCCACTACTCAACAGAGTCTACTCACCTGATCAGTTCTCCGATATCCTCATGCAGTCATACTCTACATTTGTTCAGGTCTGACTTCCTCTTCTGTGTACTAATTGTTAGCGTTTTCACTGTATCCGTAAACTATTGATTCAAATATCCGGGCAACCTGCATGGAATTTCTAGGCATAACCCTTGCCCATAAGAGCATTGTCAAATGAAAATGCATTTCGAACCAACCTATTATAATGTCTTAACTCAAGCTCATTTGGCCACACCATTAAAATAGAATTTCCTAGTATTTTGGTACGGTGGTAAGAGCCCTGTAGAATAAATTTAAGTTCCAACTCCCATTTGACAAATGGGAGCAAGCTTGCCCATGCTTGAATAATAACAAGCACTTAGCAAATACCGAAACTTGGGATTGTTACGGGATGAACATGGATGACATACACTTCAGCACCAGGTAGACTTACCCTGAAAAAATAAGCTGGACACTATCACAATCTGTACTCTCAAAATACTAAGCCACATCAAGAAATCAGATCAAGCTGCTAAATTACGAACTAAAAAATATTATACGTAAATTGTTATATTATATACAAGCCAGTCCTCATTATAATATCAGCAGCGATCTATGGACAGAACCTCTATGGTTTAGGAGCAAGGAAGATTGGGGTCACAACTCTGCCACCAACTGGTTGTTTGCCAGCTGCCATTACTTTGTTCGGTGCAGGAACCAACCACTGCGTTGCAAGACTGAACAAAGACGCAATCTCCTTCAACAATAAGCTCAACAGGACATCTCAAAATCTAAAGAGCAAGCTTCCTGGCATCAAGCTCGTAGTCTTCGACATCTATCAGCCTCTCTTTGATCTGATCACAAAACCTGTAGAGAATGGTATGTGCTGAAACTTTTTCTCCCTTCTCCTTTTCCTTTCTTTTCTCAAACTCGGCCAACCTTCAAAAGTTTTGGAAAGCACAAACATGTAACACAGAATTTTATTGTTCAAAAACAAAAAAGGAACAAGAAGTCAGTGTCTCGTTTACATAATAAAGGAGCTTGAAATTTGACAAAAGGAAGCAATGGAAATTTCTTTCAGCATTGTAAAATCACAGAAGAAAATTATGAAAGTCCACCTTTTCCGCACAAGAAGGGAGCCGCAAGGGAGGAGGGGGGGTGATTAACTGTCTTTTGGAATCAAAGAGGACACTTGATCACATTTCCTCTAATAATCTTCCTCTTTTCCAGGATTTTTTGAATCAAGGAAGGCTTGTTGCGGGACTGGTATGATAGAAACATCGTTCCTTTGTAATGCCAGGTCAATTGGAACATGCTCCAATGCTACAAATTATGTCTTCTGGGATGGATTTCATCCCTCAGAAACAGCAAATGAGAAATTGGCTCAAAGTCTGTTGGAACAGGGCTTTGAGCTCATCTCTTAAAGCCTCAAAGCTGCAGAAACTGTCTACTTTGTAGTTCACCCCTTCCATGATATTGTTTTATAGTTGCTTTCCAACTTGAAAGAGGATTAAGCTATAGTATATCTCGTAAGAAAGCAGTTACAGCTAAGTACCGCACATCTGACAACCTTCCCAACTTGGGAATATGTTTTCAGTATTTGATGCACCATCATTGGCTCATTGCCACATAAAAGTCAGCAGAAACAACAGTTCTATTTAAGTCTTTTGAGTTATCCCATGAGGCGAGCTCTATTCAACTCTATATATTCTAATTGATTGCCTACCCAGAATTTAAAAAAAAAAAGGAAGACTCATATAAAGTAAGTTCACTAAGTATTCCATTTTAGTCACACAAAAAAAGGAGACAAAAAAAAAGGCAAAAAAATTTAAACTTCTGGTATGTAGCTTCTTTTTTTCTTTTTTTTTTGATGGGGGTAATCTTCTACTAGCTTGTTTACAAACAAAGAGAACCACTTTACCTGATCAACAACTATGAAAGTTCGAATCCAGCATTGGAATTGATAGCATATAGAAGCTTTGCTCTCAATGTATTCTGGCGTTTGTATGTCGGAAGCTGTCAAAGGCAGAAGAAAAAGGACAGATTGCAGTATGTTTGACAGAAAGATGTCCTATTGTTGAAAGCTAATTTGATTTTCCATTTGACTATATGAGTTGGATTTGGTGCATTTGATACCTCAAAGTTAACGTAGAATAATTAAAGATATTGTACCTTGAGAGTGTTGTAGCAAGTAGAAGCTGAAGGAAGCCGATCAACATCCTGTCCGCCGAATGTCGCCAATAGTGGCAAATCACATGAAACCTATATTTACGAAATTTCATTAATATTAAGCGCTGCTAATCAAGGTATTCCATTAAAACTATCGGTATGTGCGTTTTCTCTAATTTCCCCTTCCCTTTCTTTTGATACATTTTTGTATTTCTTTTGTTTCAATGTTCATCTCCCCCCTCTTCCTAGAATGAAAAAGAGCAAGGTCAAAACAGGCCTTTAGAACATAGAGAAGGGAAGGTGAAAGTTTAAGCAGGAGAGGGAAGAAGGAAGTGCAACAAACATTAGCTAGCCAGAAGTGTTAGATTTTTAACGATGCTGGTGTTGAGTGATTACTGGGAAGAGGTGAAGCATGAACAGCATGTTATTTATCAACGAAGAGTATGTATGAGGAGCCACAATTGCAAACTCACACACGAGAACAAGTACATGATAAAGATAAATGCCAGAAAGTTAATGAAAATGTTCCTCTCATTATAGTTAATAAAATATGTTAATTGATTAAGGTAAGGGTAAGGTCTGGGTTTGTTGTTGTTGTAAAATATGTTAATTGATTAAGTTGTTTTGCATAGAAAATTAAAGAGAAAAGAAAGGTTTTGCCGAATGTTGATTTAAACAGAAGTGCATGTCTGCATGACACACAATGTGCCCCAGATCAAGTGAAGCATTGTTTCCGTTTTTTATTTGCTTACTTCATAAAATTAGGTTTCTTTTTAGGAAGGGGCTTCTCTGATTAGTTTTAGTTTGTTTTTATTAGAGGGGACAATGTACAAGAGTTTTCTCTGCGTCACATTCTTCATATCATTGAAGCAAACTGAGAAGCATAACAACGATAGATAGTATCCATCAGAAAAAGTACAGTCATTTACTGGCATTTCTCCATTCTCACGGTCTACTGTCTACAATTCAACCAAAATCAAGACTGCCTCCATTCAGCTTCCATAAAGCACAAGATACTGAATGTATCTCAAATCCACCACACATCTGACGATGCACTCTGAAGCTGTGATCCTCATCGGCCAGTGGCTTACAGGAGGAAGTTATCCCAGCACTAACACATTAGTTTAAACTCTATTAGGAAACTTAGGTCCTGCTCACTTCCACACAAATTTCCAGTCTCTCTGTATGAAGAAGAAAATATCTGCTAGTTGGCCCCAGATTCCTGTTTCTTTACCAGGATTTTGCAGGAATTTGTTACAAGAAGATATATAAAACAAATAAAAATCATCTTTCCTGCATTTTCCATCCAAATGAAGCACAGGAGCCAGTTAACCAATAATTTCACACCAGTTCACCTGCCAATACATACTTTCCTTGCCCTCCTATTTCCGAGTTCTGTCGCTAGTTTAAGCTCAACACCTTTGCCCCCTTGTTATACTTTCACCATCATCAGTTGACCATTTTGAATTAGAATTGTCTATAATACAATTCTCAGTTTTAAACTCATTATCTGTTTATCATCTTCATGGGTGCTGGGTGATTTGGTTTTTTTTATTCTTTTTTTTTTTT